GGTATTTACCTATATTTCCCTAATAAAACTGAACTGAACTGAACTGAACTTCTCCTTATGTCCGATGATTGGCGGAGATTAGGCAAAATGTATACGAAACACCTGAAAATGATTCAACCTTGGGAAATGGTTCAATATCGGTAATTAAACTGAAGGTCCCTGAGTTGAAATCCTCCGAGAGAAATGTCTACTTCCATGAAAAAAAGAAGAGGTGAAGCGACTCACATTCGACATCATATAGAACATTCCCCGCCACCTTCTTCAGCCGGAAATGTTCACTTGTCCACTTTGTCATGAGCTGGAGAATAAAGGAGAGTGAATGGCATGAGATGATTAAGCACATACATTATCAAAATTCCAGTTGACAGCATGGGGCTACTTTTTCCGTTTTGTTACATGAATTGAAGAGAGTTGAAACCCACAGAGGCTGAAATATCATTTGAGATTGGAAGTTGTAATGGGACTAGGCCAAATTCAGGCATACCGACCACGCAACGCCATTAAGTAAGTTTGCTTGTCATCACTGTCCTGCGTTTAGGGTCCAAAATCATTCACTGTCAGAGATGAAAATCTTAAAAGAATAGCTAGGACAGATACGAAGGGCCATGCTGTACTCAATCTTAAAAAACCTCTTATTAAATTTGGCAATCTAGCCGACAACGGCCGCCATGGCAGTGGATGTCAACTTAACTGCTAATTATCACTGGCAGCAATAATGTCAACATCGGAAGACGTAAAAACGGCTTGAAGGTTGACGAGAACTACATTTAGCGTTGTCTAAGCCTTCAGATCTTTCACAATAGGCCCGCCGGGGTCATACTATTCTTAAATAACAAAAGATCAGGGAGAAATTGGCAAAATGTCATGACAAAACACTATATCAGAAGAAAGAGGAGCGTTCACCGGGAGAGGTTTACTATAAGCCTGACGTTTCGGGTAGTGGTCTTGTCTACCCATCTTCAGAGAATGGATACTCCGGTTCAAAGCCCTCGTCCTTATGCCGTCGAATTTTCAGCACTATCAAAACACTATATGTTATTCGTTTAGGATGACAGCAAGAAGACTCACATCGCAAACGGTGTTATGATGATCGCAGACCTCCTCTTCGAGACGCTCGATATGACTGACCACCTCGTGGAAGTTTAGAAGGTCTTCCGTCACTTCACCGTCCTAAAAACAAATAATGCCATAAAGTAGTGGTCGTGTGTTTATGCAAAAAATTAAACAGTGCTTCAAATGCTCGGATGAAAGAAGACTCCGCCGAGTGATCATGGATTTCCGGATATTTTGTACATAGAGAATATAGATCATAATCTGGATCGGGCGCCAAAACTTGTCCGGTTGTCTTGTAGACGAAAGAGCATAAAATTGACCTGAATAATTAAGAATATCGGTTTAAACAACAACGACTACCTTCCTTTTCTGGGACCAGTGGAAACGGAAGTTGCACTTTAATTACAAAGTCTTATTCAACTGAGGTGAAACTTGATGACTAACAGTGTAAAAGTATGAATTAGCAGTAGACTCACACAATTACCAAAGCCTACCGACATCGGTATTGAAGGGCGACGTACAGTGCGGTTTCGTGTGGCAGGAGTCAGATAGGAACTGAACATCAGTGGGCCTGACTTTACGAAATTTAGTCAACTTTACGGTGGCCTTTCATTGGTACATGATGTGACTTGGGACAACACGGTTGCAACTACGACGCAGGCACGCTTTCGAACTTCCAGAACGGATCCAAATTCGTGCTCTAGAAAACTGCCAACAGAGGAAGTGATCAGCCTCGATTGGCCCGACTACAATAACTGCTTCTTACCGCGGCCTATATGGTACGTCTCACTCAGATAACGTGATTTTTATGGGGTCTATTTGGTGTGAGCGCAAAGACCAGAAACTGTGAGGTATGTGCAGAGGCGGATTGCACTCGGTCAGCCATTGTGTGTTTGTGAGTGAAGAATGAGACGCAGATTGGGTAAATCGCTCTGGATATGTGCTCAAATCAGACTCATCTCACAAACGTGCCCTACGAAGAGTGTTGGCCCTTTTTACTCGCGACATAGGGACTGGTGGTGTTGATTATGCGTTACCTTAAAAGGCACTAGATGATACAGGACGCAGAGAACTGAATTTTTACGAGAAATCTGAGGAAAAAATGTCATCTTACAGTCAGCCTGCTTTATTCACAAATTGCCGAGAACCCCTGCCCTGCTCACCATACACACAAAATTACAATAAGAAGGGAAACTCTCAGTGAGACGTACATTGGCAGAACGAAGCATGGCAAGGTCATCTTCGTCGTTGCCATTGTCATCGCTAATGTCTCGTTCCTCAACAACGGCATGAGGCACGGACAGTTCATTGGCGACATCGTAGTAGCCGGAGCTTGTACGACCATTGTGCGGAGCGCCGGAGGGGTAACCGGAAACCGAATCTCCCAGAGGACCGCGGGTAAACTGACGTCCACTCTGAGCAGGAGCACGACTAGAGGGGACCGCTGAGGAGTAGTTAATGTCCCCAGAGGCGGATCCGCCTTGGAGAGACAGATAGGACTTAGAGTAGATGGGCAAACACAATAGCAAACCGGGTAAAACCAGTAGTTAGGCTGCATTATACTGATGTTACGTAAATGGCGACAGTGCGTTAAACAGATTCGGCCCTCAAATGTTGGTCAACAGCTGTAATAACTTAGTTCGACTCAACGTCTGTCCAAACCATCACTATCAACTGCTTCTAATGATTCGGTGTTATAGTGACGAATTACAATTGACGAGTATCGATGACATTAACTCGTGTCGAAAGTTTTTCACAGACAAACAACTTCGTACCATATACTGTCGAAGCATAGAATAATCGATTTAGGATGGAATTCCATCAATTCTATAACCTACTTTTTTGCAATTACTGTGACCCCATTTACTCGGGCTGAAATTACACCCTGGTTTGCGCAATCCGACACTAGTTGATATCATTTACAATGAGCAGCACGGCAGTTACCGATGTCGGGTTTTGGCGTCTGAAAAATCGCCTAGTTAGGGTACTAGAGCAAACGCTTCTACGAAAGAAAATGCTTATTTAAGATACAGAAACGACCAGCTCATCTGGCATATTTGCCACAAATCGGCTCTCCGTAAAGGACTATAGAAACAAGATAAATAAGCCTGCTGTCATCCACAGACTTGTTGACATACGCAATATCCATTCGATTCGCTTCATAAAGGTTTTTGTTTTCGGACAAAATTGCGGCAGAATGCACCAGCACCAAAAAAGATTGATAGTTTTTAATGACAGGACC